AACTTCCTTACTTTAGGTATCCCTAATATCGATACCCGACAATATTTTTATGGGACTTGCTAACGCTCGGACGTCTGATCCGAGGCACTTGCATCGGACGGTGTGCTCTTGAACCCACGCCTGATGCATCCATCCCACTCCAGAGGCCGCACGGGCCCAAGCATGCGCAGGGACCACCCCGAGCCTGCTCCGTTTCACACACCCAATTACACGCAGTAGCACCACCACCACTAGCAGGCGCGTGCGGTGATCCCTAGCAGTACGATGACCTACAACAACGCACTAGCAGTAGCAGCATGTGTTTCCCCGAGATATACTTTTGAAACATCCAAATGAAACACTTGCAACATACGTCTAAAATAGATGAAACACTTGAAACATGCGCTTGAAACATGCATATATAGCCATAGCAACATGTGCAACACCAAATCTACTCTAGATGTAACACTTGCAATATACAAAAGAAGACAGAATTAACATTTGCAAAAAACACACCTAAAAACACTTGAAACCCATATCAAAACATACGCAACATCCAAATAAAACAATTGCAACATATGTGTGAAACATATGCAACATCCAGATAAACACACTTGCAACATACATCTGAAAACAGATGAAACATTGGGAACAGACGCTTGCAAGATACGTGTACAAACCATTGCAAAAAATACAACATCTCAATCTACTTTTGCAACATCCGTATAAAACACTTGCAACATTCTTATGAAACACTCAAAAACATTTGAAATGTATGCTTGCAACATGCGCTTTCAGCGCAACATCTCTTTGCTGCTTGGGATAAATGGAGGTTTGTTGGCGTGTTAAGTTAATCGGTCTAGAGCTCACCGGTGGTGCGGAGCAACCGGCAAGGGGGCGCGATAGCCATCGAGCGCGGCGGTCGGAGCAGAGCTGCCCTCTGTTTCTTTGAGACCGGATGGCGATGGAGCTTTGCGTTGTCGGTGGACCGGCCAGGGGACACCACAGCCTTGGAGCGGACCAGGCAGGGGGCAGCTGTGAGCCGGCCAAGGGGAGCGATGGGGCGGTGGCCGGAGCGGAGCCAGCCTCTCTTTCTTTGAGCACAGCGATGGAGCTACGAGTCGTCGGCGGACCGGCTAGGGGACATCGCAGCCTTGTCGCGAACCGGCCAGGGGAACACTATGGGTCGGCAGCTGGCCTCGGGGCACCGTGGATTATGGACTCCGAGGGGCGCTGGTGAGGCCGGCGGCTAGCGGAGGAATCCCACGGTTGCGGCGCTACGGAGCGCGGTCGTGGTGGAGCACAATTTTGTAGCGCTGTGGTGGAGAGCCTTCTGGAGAATGGAGTAGCAGGATAAGGTTAGAGGTGGGTGGACAATGGGATACGCCAGTTGGGCTGTTGGGCTGGTGCCGCGGCCTGCGAATGCAATGTCCGGACGATCAGACGTCCTGACCAGAGTATTACCATTTTTTTTTATCACTTGTATGCTGAGATTGGCCGGCCTGAAGCTAAGCTTGCAAGCGGGTGTCCATATGCTTAATCTGATGAACTTGCAGAACAAAAGTTCAACACAGAGCCATTAATGAGATTAATGATCTTTTTTTTTTCTGAAAGTAAAAACAAATTGAAAGTGAGATTAATGATCTCAAAACGTGTAATTGATTTTGTAAGAAATGTCCTTAACATAAGTACTTAATTAGCTGATGAACTTTACAACTACTACGAAAAAAAAAAGCTCCTGCTATCTTCTCACAGTCTGACCTTGAATGCACATCGTGTCATTATTTGCGTTATCCGGTGGCCAAACACAAACACATCGATGAGACAATGAGATACGTCGTACACGTGTAGCCACACAACGCAAGGTGATTTAACTAACCAGATCTCTCAGATGGTCTCAGTATTCCCAACAAACTATACCATACATGAGATGGATCAGGAGAGAGCAAGCACACACATAGAGATCCAAAGTTGACAAACATGGGATGCAGATAGCCAACCAATCACCAAACGATCACTACGTGGATCAGAAAAAGAATAGACCTCGATAATGGTTCCATCTATTTGTCACTACAAATACCATGATTTCCCTCTCCCCAGTCACCACACAAGTACACAACGATCTTCTTCTCACTGGCCATAGGTGTGTAGAGCAACTCGATCGCTATGGCTTCCAAGAGCACAATGCGTTCGATTGTCCTCCGCGTGGGGTTGCTCCTGCTCTCATGCAGCGGCACGTGCAGCGCGGCACGGCTGCTGGAGGAGGTGGCGCCCAAGGAGGAGCACCCGCACCCTGAAGTGCCAGAGCTGCCCAAGCCTGAGCTACCGCCGCATTCAGTCGTGCCGGAACTGCCAAAGCCCGAGGTGCCCGTGCATCCCGCCGCCGTGCCGGAGGTGCCGAAGCCTGAGCTGCCACCACATCCCACCGTACCTGAGCTGCCGAAGCCCGAGGTGCCGGAGCACCCTTGCTGCCGTGCCGGAGTTGCCAAAGCCTGAGCTGCCACCACATCCCACCGTGCCTGAGCTGCCCAAGCCCGAGGTGCCGGAGCACCCTGCTGACGTGCCGGAGTTGCCAAAGCCCGAGCTTCCTCCTCACGCCACCGTGCCTGAACTGCCGAAGCCCGAGGTGCCGGAGCACCCTGCTGTTGTGCCGGAGCTGCCGAAGCCTGAGGTGCCTGAGCACCCCACCGTGCCGGAGCTACCCCACCCAGACGTGTCGGAGGCGCCAAAGCATGAGCTGCCACCAGCTCTGCCTGAACCTGAGTTGCCACCAAAGGCCGAGACCCACTACCCGGAGCCAGAGACCAAGCCTTGATCGGCCTTCATTAGTGAACGCTTTATGTATGTGTACGTACGTATGGTTTAAACTTTGATGTCTGCCTGCGATGTTGTTGGCCGTGCCCCACACACACTACTAGCTAGGAGCGTGATGTTCCCAGTAGTGTATGTATGTGTATTTGCTTTGTATGTATGCATGTGTACGTCTGTACTTCTGGTTATAATGTCTATGCAGAGTATATATATGCATGTATCCCACACGTTTCATTTATTTATTTATTCTTGAGGTTATACATGTCTGCCTTGAAACTTCTTAAAGTTTTAGGAAAATTCTTTCTGAGAGTATGTTGCAAACAATAAAACAAGTAAAGTGCTTACAGCTAGCAATAGCACAAGCACATGAATGAAGAAGGTTTATTTGAGAGCGACAAGAAGAACCTAGCAAACTAGTACTACTTCAGAACAACAAGTATTCCCTCCGTTCCAAATTATAATTGACGCTTTGGTTTTTCTAGATACATTATTTTTATTATGTATCTAGATATAATGTATACCTAAATGTATAGCAAAACCTATGTATCTAGAAATAAAAGCAAAACATCTTATAATTTGGAATAGGGAGTACTTTTTACATTATACTGTAAAACTAAAATTAGCATCTTTGTTAAACTCATATAATTTGTATTATGAAGCTTCTTTTAGTGAAATTTCTGATATTGTATGGGGCGTTTGGGAGAGCTCCAGCTTTAGCTTCTTCGAAGAGAATCGCTCCCAACCTGACGCTCAAAATGCCAACTGATTCGGATGGTTAGCAACATATGGTAAAACTAAAAAATGATTGGAAAAGCCTTAAATTGTATATATCTATTTTAGTTGGTATTTATTACCCACTTTTGCCACTATTAATATAGATATACAACTATACAAGCAAGATTAGTATCACCAAACATCTGTATACAAGCAAGATTAGTATCACCAAACGTATCGACTAACTATATACATATGTATATAGAAAGTGACGAACATACAGATTTCATGTTAAACACATAGCTCGAGCTAAGGTTCAATTTCATCTTGAACTTTTTAAATAACTGTTTTCGTCCTCAAACTCTACTTTTAAACTTAGTTTCATCCTAAGACTATTAGAGTAATCGTTTTACTCCTTAAACTTTGCACTTTGGGCTCAATTTCACCCTACCAAGTGCTTTTTATTATAGTCCCTGAACTTTCACAGTTCATGGAGATGAAAATTGATCTAAACATGTGAAGTCTGAGGACTGCAATTATCGCTTTAATAGTTCTAGGATGAAACCAAAAGTAAAGTTTTGGGACTGATGAAACGACCATTTTAAAAGTTTGAGGATGAAATTGAGCCTTAGATGATACTTGAGGGACCAAAATGATGATTTTGCCAAGGTTTTAACTACACATATTTCAAGCACACTTTTAGGTGCAATGCACACAAGAAAAATTATGAGTGGGAAATGCAGAATCATATAAAGCGATTGGTGACTAGACAAGTATTGTGTTAGAATATGAACAAATGGGAGAGATTGCGCAAAGATAAGAACTTTTGAATATCTCAGATTCATCCACAAACTTAAATTTATCTTTCTTAAAGTTACTAGCCTGCCTTTGGAACACATAATGATGGATCATTAGTTTACCAAATTCAAAGAATGGATTAGAAAAGGACATGAGTTACAAACAAAAAAAAAGATGGTGCTTTGAATAAATTTACGGTACGTGTTTGGGTCATTTTCAACTCGATCGCTTAAGTATTTTATTCAGAGCTAGTAAATCCACCCATCCTCTCGTGAGCATAGATGTATTCATGTTGGTCTCTTTCTTAGTCGATTCTTGGCATGCAAGTCCACACCTTTGCGCAATCCGGTAGCCAAACAAATGTAGATTGATGAGATATTGTACATCGCACACGTGTAGCTATAGCCTACATTATTGCCGCTGCATCGACCAACCAAATCACTCAGGTCGTCTCAGTATTCCCAACTAACCAAACCATACACAAGTGTAGATCAGGAAAGTATCATTGCCAAGGACAAAGTTAAACAACCACATCGATGCAGATGACCTACCAGCTCTGAAACGACAAGATCTCAAGCCTTCACTGAACTCTATAAATAGCAGGTTGTCTGCGTTCCTAGCCATCACACACAACCATCTCCAGCTCTAAGACGAGAAGCACATATACAGCACGATTGAGAGTAAACCATCGTCCAATCATGGCTTCGAGTTCCAGGAGCACCGTGTCTTCGCTTCTCTTGGTGGCGCTGCTGCTCTGCTGCAGCGGCATGAGCAGCGCCGCGCGGTTGCTGGAAGAGGCGCCGCCCAAGGAGGAACACCCACACCCTGCCGTGCCGGAGCTGCCAAAACCCGAGCTGCCGCCGCACCCTACCGACGTCGTGCCGCCTGAGGTGCCCAATCCCGAGTTGCCACCGCATCCGGCTGTCCCCGAGCTGCCGAAGCCTGAGGTGCCTCACCCGGTGCCAGAGCAGCCCAAGCCCGAGCTGCCACCGCACCCGGCCGTCCCCGAGCTGCCCAAGCCTGAGGTGGCTCACCCGGTGCCGGAGCAGCCGAAGCCCGAGCTGCCACCGCACCCGGCCGTCCCAGAGCTGCCCAAGCCTGAGGTGCCGCACCCAGTGCCGGAGCTGCCCAAGCCCGAAGTGACTCCTCATCCGGCCGTCCCAGAGCTTCCAAAGCCCGAGGTGCCGCACCCAGTGGCGCCAGAGCTGCCAAAGCCTGAACTCCCTCCTCACCCGACCGTGCCAGAAGTTCCGGAGGTGCCAAACCACGAGTTGCCGCCTCTGCCGAAAGCTGAGCTGCCACCGAAGCCGGAGGGCCACTACACGGAGCCGGAGGCAGCAAAACCATGAGCGGACGTACACAGTCCCACCAGTTATCTACACATTTTACCACATGTGCATGTTGTGTAGTTTATGCACAGTTATAGTACCTATATATGAGTTGTGATGTTGTGTTCTTGCGTACGAGCCAGAGCTTGCTTGTGATGAGCTAGCTATCAGTTTGCATCCATATGTAAATGAATAAAGATTTCTAGTTGCTATATTTACACTGTTGAGAGTTAATCATGTGTACATAATATATATGTTTTTCATCTTGCTTATTATTGCTTTTTTTTAGTAAATGCTCATTTTGCAGAAAGTTAGTAAGAACAGATCATCTCAAGAGCAATAATATACATGTTGTATGCTGAAATGTGAAGTTTTCCAGCAAATGCCCAAGCTGTTATGTATACATCTGCATGCCATTTTCAGAGAGAACTCAAGGCCAGGCTTGTTTGGAACGAAACATGTTATTCACGTCCCGTTTGGATTAGCTAAACTTTTTAAAAGCTGATAATAGCTTTTTATAAGCTGGATGGTTGAATAGTTTAAAATGGGCTATAATCTAAAGCATAAGTTGCGTTGTTTGGATCAACTGGAATTTTTTTAGCAGCTAGCCAGCTACTAGAAATTTATTTTAGTCAATCTAAATAGGTCTGGAATAATCTTACGAAGATTATATTGTTTGCTGGAAAAATAAAATGACAACTTAAGACTTATTAGTCGTCCATGAGTGTGAGTCCCTGTATATCATTTCATTGTCGAATCATCATCAAGGGAAGTCAGATTTTATTCTTTTGTGAATTTGTCATGTACTATTTAATTTGTGTAACCATTGTCGCTCTAGAAAATGTTTAAAGTCGATCATGAGTGATCACTGATAATCAGAATAGGGCTATATAGAAAAGAAAACTAATCAAAACTTTAAATCTATCTAAATCTCTAAAGGGAATAACCAAATAATAGTTCAAGAAAATCAAAGAAAAAATAGGATTTCCTTGGTGGGCAAGGATTTTCTAGAGTGCCAAAACCAAGTCACTAAGGAATATTGCAATTTCTTAGGGGTTGTACAAAGTCTACAAGAAAATATATATTCCTTATAGCGGTTACAACATTTTCTTGTCCTTTTGGAAAACTTGATAGATATCTCTAGTTTTCTTGGCCGCCAAACCTCCAAGGAAATAAACCTTGAGGGTTAGACGCCAAGGAAACTGAATTTCCCTTGTGCTCTATCCTTAGTAGATTTTGCTCGATGGTTTGCCATCAAAGATCTGTCCTTTAGCGGTTTCAGTACTTTTCCCGACTGTTTTTAGCCACTAAATAAATTCTAGATTATGGTAGCGTACCAACAATTTTTTCCCTAGAGATATCCATCTCGATGGTTAATGGATCATCTATGCATGATGTGATGTTATAATCCTGCAAGTAATCCATACAAGGAATACTTGGCATGAAGTGACATCCACTTTATCATTTCCTATAGTAGTTTCACCAAGCTATATGTACTGAACGGTAAACTAAAACGTCACACCAACAACTTTTAGCCTGAAATTTGTGTAACTCCAACTCTAGCTCTGACGGCACCTCCACCAGAGCAAATAGAGCCACACCAAACATCCGGAGGAGAAAGAGCCATTTGGGCATATGGAATAATATAGGAGCCGGATGTGTTTTTGGCATACGAAGATGAACCATTATATATTTGAGGCTTCAACCTCTAGCTCAGGGTGCATCCGGGATATCATGTCATTGGAGTCAAGCACAAAAAATTGGGTCAAAGATACGTAGATTCTCTATTTGAAAGAGTAATTTACAGCAGGCAGATATATATAACAACTTTTAGTTAGTTTTCATTAAGTTACCGGGGTGAGGTGACCCCAATGAAAACATGTGGGCATGTTCGCTTGAACTTATCAGCCGGCTTATCAGCTAGAATCTACAGTATTTTTCTCTCACAATAAAACAGTTTCAGCCGGCTTTAATACCAGCCGAACAGGGCAGTAGATTCATCCCTACTCTAGCTCCGGCAATGGAGCGGATAGAGCAGAAGCTACAACAAACACGTGCTGACGCGCATAGTTTCTTTTTAGATCAACATTATCTGACGTGTACTTATGATAACTCTTTGTTAGCACGGTTTAAGAAGAAGCAACTAACAATAAACTTATTAACACACCCGGTCACCATCCAGATGTTGTTACGTTACATCAATATTTACCGTGCATTACCAAGTCCTTTTTTTGGAAACCAAGCATCGACCCTGTTCGTGTCACACCCCAAAAATTCCATTTTGGTTTGTGAATAGTTAACACTAAATAAAATTACTGCTTTTGTCACTTTTCTTAAAATTTCCAAGATTTTATTAGGATTTTAGGAATTTAAACTGTGCAAATGTGATTTTTCAAAAAAAAAGAGAATGAAAAGTTAAACACTCTCTTTGCTGGGCCAATTCTGGCCGGCCTGCAGCCCCACTCCCGCGCCCCCTCCTCCTCTTGGCCTCGGCCCAAGCCTCCCTCCCGCGCTCTCCCCCTTCACCTGGGCCAGCGGCCCGTTTGTCGCATGGGCAGGCAAGCCCAGCAGGCCAGCCCGCGCAGCCCCTCCCTCCACTCTCACAGACAGGTGGACCTTGCCTGCTCCTCTCTTACCATCGCTGACGAGTGGGCCGGCTCCGTCAGCCTTCGGCTACCTCCGGACCTTCTCCCTCCGCCGCAATGGCCGGGCAGGCCCGAGCCGCCCGCGCGACCCAGCCGCGCTCCGGACCAAGCAATCCGGCGCGACCGAGCCCCGTCCTCTCTCCTCCCGCGTCTACCGCACCCGCCCACCAGCGCAGCCGCTCGCGACCTCTTCCCGCACGCACTCCGCGACCGCCATTGACGGCATGCACCGGAGCTCGTGACCCGGCCCCTCCCCTCACCTTCTCGCCCTATAAAAGCTGTCTCGGCTCTGCACCTACACTCCGCAGCCGCTCCGCCCCTCTCTGTGACCTATCCCTCGCCGCAGCACCTCCGACCGCCGTCGCCACCGTGTAACACCCCAGGCCACAACCCCTGGAATGCTACCAGCTACACAACATAAACTGAATTTAACACACACAAAAAAAACAGCAGCATCTCCTTTGAAAAAGATGCAACGCGGAAGCATAGCATAGATAAAATATAAGAAAATAACGTGTCAGATAATCCAAAAGTACTAGAATAGAAGATAATTAAGCTTAACAACTCTGACACACGGTTAAGCAAAGACTGAAAACAATTCCATGAACTAAACATTCTTTTTTACTACATCACAAGTATGATAAGTAAATCATGATCGGTGCAACGTGCTGCTACTTCCCATTCCCACATGTAAAGCTTCAAGTACCTGGAAAGAGTAAGAAAGGGTGAGATTTAAAAATCTTAGCAAGAAATTTGATTTGACAAGCTATTTAAATCACAAGTTGATTAAGCATTCAGTTATGCCCCAACAGAACAGGAACATGCCTCTTATAAGAAAAGTAACATACAGCTAATAAATCCATATCCAAAGGACACATATTTTCTTCAACTTCACATCCACAAGAGTCACATATTATTATGATGCCGTCGATGAATGCATAAAAATGCAAATGCCATAACTTCTTTTACATCGCACCTCTCCTCGGGCAACGCAAGATGTGTACCAGTACAGTCGCATCCATAGGATTGCGATCAACTTCAAGTGCATGTGAAATGCAAAGTGCACATGACATGATGCAATGTGATAAATATTATCAACACTTCAACTTCATCCTCATGTGAAACAAAGTAACAAAATAACACAATTAAGCAACATGCTTGTGCATGAATAAACCACCATGTTCAGATCATAATTAGAGTACATCAGTTCTGAATTTAAAGTGTAGGTGATGAAAATAACATGTCACAACAGTAGCACGATCACCGCTATAATTACTTGCCTCCAAAAAGCCGGAGCGACACAAGGAAAGCACTAGGCACGATCCGAAACACCGCCACCTGGTTAGGAAGCATAAACTCAGAATGTGCTCTTGTACAAATAAGTGTAAACAATACATAAAGCGTCCCTTCAAAAACTACCCTAAACAGCGAACATCGTTTTTCATCAACAACAGCAGTGCTGCTTCTCTTTTTTGTATGCTGATATCCACTGACCCAAAAATTCCCAAACTTGGTCAGAACATGTAAGACCCCATTATCTACAACTTTGGTATAATAATTGTTTTGATTTGAAGCACCTAAAATGAAGTACCGAGGCTCTGAACTTAACTGTATTTTTCTGAAGGTAAAACATGACAGGGATATTAAAAAAAAATCATATCTGGAGTTGTACTTGTCCAAAAAATGCATACTTTACTAAGATGGAAAGCATGAAAACAATACTATAAGTTTGCTTCAGGTTGACCCCACAAATTCGGTCAGGAAGACTATCAAAAACATGTTCAATCTACTACTGTTCTGAATTTCGTCAGATTCTGAAAGCCAACTTCAAAAACTCATAACTCCTAACTCATTTGGTGTAAAAGCATAAACTTGGACTTCGTGGAAACCTCTTAAGAGTCTACTACAACAATATCAATTTTTATCCTAATTTAACATGCATATAATCAATGGGAAAACTCGAGAGAAAGATGACAGTACTCTCTAAAAATTCCTGGTGTCCAGAAAACGATCAATCAATACTCTCCAAATAAATCTTGCCTCTAATCGCCATCAAGAAACCCTACTACAACCAAAATTACAGGTGCCCTAGGATTCAAAGACCTCACTAGGGTTTCCCTACAAAATTCTTAGAGAGAAGATAGGGAAAAGATGCCACGACATACCTATAATTGGTCCACCCCTTCTCCCTAACCCGTTTCACCTCTTTCTTGGTTTTCCCTGCTCTCCTCCATGGATCTCGGTCACAGCACAAGGGAGGACGGGATGGGAGCAGTTTTTTCACGTGAAAATTGAAGGGAGGTGGAGAGGCATGCGTGAGAGTGGTTCTGGGAAAGATGGAGGGTCGACCCTTTCCTCTCCCATGGCATTTTGGGC